GTTAGGTTAGGGTAGAGGTGGGGTGAAAGGTAATTTAGGCTCAATTACCCTAATCAAGCATTACTAAGGTTGGGATCATTTTGATTTTCAATACATGAGAGCTTCCAAGAATTGTAATACTTTCAAACTTGAACTCTTCACATTTTTTATTTTTTTTCATTTTTTTTTCATTTTCTAAACTCTACCATTCTCCCAAATTTACATAGCTCTCCAATAAATTATACATAATCTACATGCATGTGGTAAGGACAAAAGATAGGAAATATAAAAATAAGGGTTGGGTTTATTAATGTTGGTGCAAAACTAAGAAAGGGTAACGAAAGGGTCAAAAGGGGTGACTTCGAATATTCATATAAAGGTCGGCTTGAAAGGCGCAATCAATCCAAAGATGACCTAAGTGATCTCTCTAGCTAGTGTAGTTTAGGATTTCATCTCGAGAGATGAGTAAACAAATTCTAAAATATAAGCATAACTTCAATGATGAATCTAAAAAATTGCATGATTGCATAATCATTCATTAAATGACATGCAAAGCAATGATCAAAATAATTACTCACAAATGAAATCTAACAAACAAGTAAAAGTAGCAACAACTTAAGAATTCATCTCTTGTTTTGCACAACATTTATTCTTTTCCTACTATTATAATCAAAGTCAATCATAGGATTATAGAAAATCAACCAATGGAAGTATACTACTAACTCATAGCAAAGCAAATTAAGCGTAATTTTCAAGAAAAATTTGAAATTTTAAAAAGATTTTAGCAAAATTTTCTCCACTCCCAACATAAAGTGCACATTGTCCTTAATATGTAGGCAATATAGCAATTAAGTGTAAAATTGAAGGAAACTCCCCTGATTGCTACTGATGGCCATGACTTGACTTGTTGAAATTCCACACAAAATGTTGTATTTTATAAGTATGGAGGCATACACTGGAGTCTCAAGGCTTTAAATTGAGTAAATCTAAAATTGAATATATAGAATGTAAGTTTAGTAACTAAAGGGAAGCGAGTTATAGTTGAATTAAGTCAGATGGTGAGGTAGTACCAAAGAGTAGCCATTTTTTATATTTGGGATTAATTATTCAAAGCGATACTGAGATAAAAAAAAGATGTAAATCATAGGTTTCAAGCAGATGGGTGAGGTGACGAAGTTTGTTGAGTGTGTTATATAATCGCAACATGAATTTAAAGTTAAAGGCGAAGGTGTATAAAAAAAAATGTAAGGCCTGCGTTGTTATATGGAACTAAGTGTTGGGCTGTTAAGAAATAACATGAAAAGAAAATAAGCGTAGCAGAGATGAGGATTCTTAGATGGATGTGTGGTAAGACTAGAAGAGACAAAATTAAAGATGAAAAGATTAGAGGAAAATTAGAAATAGTCCGAATTGAGAAAAAAATGAGAGAATACCGCTTGAGATGGTTTAGATATGTGAAACATAAATCTAGTTGTGCATCAGTTAGGAGATTTAAGCTTCTAGATTTAAGAGAGAGCAAAACTTCTAGAGATAGATTACGAAATAAGTGAATGTAAGTAATAAACAATGATGAGGATTAAGGAAATAGATGAAAAGTTTGTTGCGGACAGAAATGAGTGGCGCAAGAAGATTTGAACCCACGAGTTAACATGATTTTTTTTTTGTCTTTCATACAGTCGATCCCATAATTATGTGATATAAGGTTTAGTATGTTGTTGTTATCTGTTGTTGTTGAGATCTTTTGTTGATTTTTAATTTTCCTAGTATTTCATAGGAAGCAGGCTCTTCGAGCACTGTATTTGCTTGGGATCTTAGAGCATAACAACAGCCTATTGTTCTTTCTGGTGCTGGGACAGGTGAGGTTGCAATGTCTGTTATTTGAAAGTGAGGTTTGGGAAGTTCAGTTTGATCGCCATACAAGGTCTTCAAACATTAGTAACATCTCTTCCACACGGATTCTACCTGTTATGATCTGCTCAGAAGAGGGGATCCTTGTTGTTTTTAAACAACGTAAGCAATTCTTTAAGCAACTATTATTGAATAGTCTTTTGTATTTTAGGCAGACCAATTGGTAAGGATGAGACTTATATCAATTTTTATTTGGATCAATTTGATGAAAGTTTTGTTTTATAATTTTCTTTCAAGTAAAAAATCACATGACTAACATTTGTAATGATCTACAAACTGCATATGTGAAGAACCCATTGAGCTGTTAGCCAAACCCTGTGCAATTAATAGCTTTGACATTGAACAGCAGAAACCGTCGGTAAATAGAAATTTTACTATCTCACTGTTTTTTTACTCTGAAAGACATAAAAAGTGGATTCCTTGCAGCAAAAATGCAATACCATGCAGGATGTTATATGTAGCTTGGAATGGGAATCTATAGCCATCTTGACAAGGTCGTGATATCAACAGTAAGAGACACAACTTAAGCTTATAAGTCAGTTACGCCTTCTGTGAGTGATAACTTGAGGATATTTAGCACTTTTGTAGAAATGAAACAACTAATTTATGTGTTCTCAAAGTACAAATGCTCGGGGAAACATATAAGACCCAGAAAATGGAATGATTTGTTGTTTTGTTTTGGCCTGTATGTACTTGCGAGTTTTTTATTGTGCAATATAACCATGCAACAAGCCATACAAGAGAGGGTGACATTGATTGAATATCAGTTGTCTTAATAGAAGGGTAAAAAAGGAAGAAAGCTGAATTGCCTATTTAATTACCGTGACGTTTGAGTTTTGACCGATGATACCGGGGAAAAGTTGAAAAATGAGAGTTTTCACACATGGTAATAATAAAGTAATATGAAAAAGATTTGGTTTCCATTCAACATGTTGCCGCTGTAAAAGGAAGGTTTGACTTTACTTCAAAAGTTATAGGTTAATAATGCCAGATTCTTAAGATAGGATTACTAACACAGTAGAATTTAATAAAATATTGGTTTATTGGGACTCAGGCCGGTCTTAGGTTTCCTCTCCATTTGTTTTTTAATTGTTGAATTTTTTTAGCTTAAAATTTAATTATCACTCAAATTGCTTCTAATTATTTTAGATATATGGTAAGTTTTATAATATTATGTGAAAAGCTAAGTCTTTTCCTTACCTTAGGTCTGTTCAAGGAATTTTTGTTGTTAAGAAGCATTCTTATGATAAAAATTGGTACTATGTTATAGCTCATCTCATAAAAATTTTTTTGTTGTCAGAGTTTAATAAAAACATGAAAAGTTTTCTTCTTTTGTATTGAGAAAATTACGGGGTTTAAGAAATAAATAATGAGCCAGGCTTATTTGAAAAGGATAAGATGGATCTCCTGATTAACAATGAGCTTAAGGAAAGAGATATAATGAATGATTTCTTTAAAGATGAAAAATTAATAATAAATGATAACGAGTTGACCTCTCCTAAAGGAAATCAAATACTTAAGGTAATTTTCTCATTAATTTTCTTCTATAAGTATTTTTATACTTATATTTTTTAACTTTGATATTGATTTTTTGTTTTAGCTGCAGATATGACTGGTTGGAGGTTAGTAGGCTTTGATATGGCTAAATTTGTCTAGCCTTCTAGAGAAAAAGGAAAATGGTAAAGCTCTTACTCAGCTCGATGGTACTTTTCGAGATATCAAAATTATAGGTTTACCACCTCCTTAGCTCGGTTAGGTAAAAGGAAAGAGTTTTACGACAATGCAGAAATTAAAACAAAAAGTTATAACTCATAAGCCTTGGTAGAATCTCCATTACCATGAAGTTCAACTCCTTGGAGAATGCCTATAAAGATCCCAAAGTGGTGAAGAAGATTGCTTAGGCCACCATGTCCAAGAAAGGTTTATCCTAAATAAATCTTTTATTTTTTTTTTAAATTATTCATAGATTATGATCTTTAAGTTCGATTTTTGTCCATGTAATTTTTAATCGACTTTTTCAATATATACCTCAAAATATGAGATAAGCCTTATTATATTTTTACAGGGCTTTTACTCATTTTTTTCAAGACCAAGCAAGACAAAAAATTATGCCAAAGAGTTCAACTCCTTTACTGAGGTTGTCAAAATGCTCAAGCTCTTCAACGTTGAGTATAAAAAAATGAATGACGACCTCGACAAGAAGGTTGAGAACCTGAATTAGAGGCTTGAGGACACATCAATCTAGAAAGCCATAGCTGAGTCTCTGTAGTAGCAATCTGACATCGAGCTGAATGAGACCTTAGTCGAGGGAGAGCGCTTGGAGAATGAACTTCAAGCTTCTAAGGAAGTCAAGCGGCGAGTGGTCGAAACTTCCTTCAATCCGATGATTTCTACAATGTGTAGGTGGACTTTGCTCGAGATCAAGTGTTTGAATTCTTTAATTTAGCGTTGAAGGAGGTGAAGTGTATTTATGCTGACTTTAATGTGTCAATGATTAACACTTGAGTTGGAGTCATTTAAGTTATAATATTAATTCAATTAACGATTTTAATAATAATATGGATTTAATATAGATTAACGACTTAAAAGTTAGAATTGAAGATAATAAAAATAAAACGTTGAAATTGATTTTTTTTTTAATTGAAAAATAACAAACACCACTTAACCAATACAAGCTTGAAATCTAGCTAAATTATTTGGATCTTCTTGAATTTACTTGATTAAACCTTCAAGAGGAGCAAAAATTTTAGAAACACCAAGGTTATCAGAATGGGCTCAACATGCCAAGAAATCTTTTTAACACTGTCAATCTCTGCTTATCAAATGTTTACAATATGCTAACACATGAAATAAAAGTTTTTTCTGGTCCACAGATCGCATCATCATCTGCCATGATTCGGACTCAAAAATAACATATTTAAGACAACTAGACAATGTTTGAAGGTCACAAAAAATTCTTCAACACATGTATTCCTAAAACTTCAAGTAGACTAACAAACAAAATTAAAACATGTAACAGCCGTAATGTTATGCTTGCTCAAATTAGAAATGAGTCAGTCCTTGGGAGGAAGTGAGCAAAATTGGTTCAAATGTCCTGCTTGGTAGGTGTAAAATATTATTGGCCCCTGAAAATTTGTTTTATCCGAGTAGTAACATGGACTTTAAAAGAATATTTTATTGGAAATAATCGGAATGTAAATCATCTAATGCAATCTAATCCAAGCCCGACCCTCAATTTAAAAGAAAAGCGCTCTCCATTGCCCCTCTGTCTAAATTTACAATCCTCCTCATAAACCCCTTAAAACCTTGAAATAATGGCCATTTCAGCACCCCAAAACCCTTCTCAAGTTCATAGATTCCCACAGTTCAAGTACATCGACGCCGTCCGTTGGCTCCCACCGGTTTCCGCTTTCGACAGATTCGCAGCGATCGCCTTTTTCGACAGCGATTCCAACTCTCCCTCCATCGAAATCCACTGTGTAAACTCAAACCTACAAAGCTCGTTTCCAACCTTAACCTCTCAATCCTCATGGGCCCCACCTTCCCGCATTTCGTCCCTCAAAACCGCCCACTCCACCCCTCAACCCGTCATCGCTGCCGCCACTTTCTCGGGTTCCCTTCACATCTTGGCCTCCGATTTAATCAACGGAGGGATGATCGAATCCGGGGGGACACTTTCGGAGTTGGGGTTTCATTCTGGGCCTGTGGCGGCAGTGGATTTGAGGGAGGGTGGGACTGAATGCGTGAGTGTTGGGGAGGATGGGAGGATTAATTTGGTAAGTTTTGTTGGGGATTCTTCGAACCTGAGTTACCGGAGAATTTTCGACGCGAATGGGCTAGTGGGTTATACGGCGGTTAAATGGGCATCGCCGAGTGAGTTTGTGACTGGTGGGTATGGGTTTGGATTACAATGGTGGGATCAGAGGAGGCCCGGTGGACCAGTTTCGCAGTTTAAGGGGAACTGGTGAGTGAATTTGTGTGGTTTTATTCTGGAAAAGAAAATATGTAGTTGAATGTAATCTGTAGAGCTCACAGTTATCTTAACTAATTTTGATTTGTTTTTATGACATGTTATGTGATTAGCCAATTTTCATCAAAGTGTTGATAAAAGTAAAATAGACACTCTTCACCATGGAGGTTAATTTGGCAAACTCCAACGTTACTTGTGCTGTTATCTTGTTATTTTTAATTGCTTGGTAAGTCGCATGTTAATGGGCTTTCATGAGTTTTGAAATGTTTATCATGTGTACTACATTTGTTACCATTGTTCATCAGTTTATATTGATGCTCTTAAGGATGGTTAGTATAATTTTAGCCCATGATGTAAACTGAGAAGATTTATCAAAAACATTTTGCAATAATAAAAAGTAATTGACTAACTGGAGTTTGAAATAATAGGTTACTAGAGCATATTTTATTATTAGTTATCAAGATAGGAGCACATGAAGACAGGTTTCATATCTGTTTATCAGACTGCAACATATTCTTGGTGTCATGGTGTGTGGTTATGAGTTGGGGTATTAATAATTTCCCTATGAAGACGGCTACTATATTATATTAATATGGCCTATAAATGGGTATCGCTAAATTATCACCATGTCAATGCTGCTGATGTTGTGGTATTCATGTCACTGCCTTCACCATAATATAACCCTGTTTTAGCTTTTGGTGGCCATCCTACTTCAGCACGGTTAACCTCTTCCACAGTCTTTCCAACAAGGCAGCTTTATATTGTCATCCTATGTTACTCAGAGTTAGGGGTGATTGTCAAATATGGGTGTGTCCTATACGGCTACATTCAATTTTTTCTAATTAAGTTTCTCCATATATTTGGAGGGTCAGACCTCCATAACCTTGTTTGTTGGATATGTGTCGGACACAAGTATTTTCAAGGACAATAAAAATGCGGAGCAACATTGGTTTCACTTCACCTTCGGTATCACCTCATCTCCAATATAGATAATGTGCAACTATAGACACACATGTAGGTGGAAACTGGTAACTCTGCAAATAATGTGAACAGAGAAAAAAAGTAATAATTAAAAAAAAGAGCAAAAGCAGTCATGTATGTGAAGGGTTCCTCCCTGTTGGCAATTGGCTTCTGATTTGATGATAGAAAAATTCTTGGTCTTCAATTATTGTTGATAACTTCAAAACCAGTAAATTAAACAGATTTTCTCTTGGCACTTCAGTTCTATAGGATTGGTTTGACAGCATCTTTTCAAACCTTTAAAAGCGGAAAACTGTTTGTGTCACTTCTGTACTTTTGAGCATCTGCATTACTTTTGTTCTTTTGAGTATCTATGCATCTTAAGAAGAATATATAGATGGTTTATTAACTCTGATTGTGCTGATTAGAACTTATAGATTAAACACATACCTTATCATATCAAATGATGCTATTCTAATCCCCTTTTTAATGGTCATCTTGCAGGTGTCAAGGAAAAACATCTGGAATTGTACACTCGATTGATATTCATCCATCACGGAAACACACTTGTCTGGTAAGATTGCTGCTACTTTGTTGTTATTATACTCTTCCCTTTCAGTGATACCACAATGCTGGTATCAGTAAAATATTTTTGGTTTCTTTTTCTTTTTCTTCTCTTTTGGTGAAACGGCTACAAATTATATGAGATCAACTAACTGTTCTTTTTCCTTATCTTCAAAAATAGGGAAAAAAATATGAGAGAAAACAGCCTCTATCTTTCACTCTTTTTTATTTTGTAAAATTTTTAATTTGCTCTGGTAGTTTTTTTTTTTCATTTTTCTATTGTAAAAAATCATAAACTAAAAAATGAAAAAGTTGAAGAAGGGATAGAAAAGTATCGTCTATCTTTCTGCCTCTTTCTTATTTTCTAAATGCTTTGTTAATTTAATCTAGTGGTTTTCCAGTTTCTCTACTTTCTTTGTTAATATTCTTGCCAGTAGAAGTTGCATAAATTTTATGAATGAAGTTGAAGAGAAATTATAAACATAGTCCAGCCTTCCTACGGTGATGAGTTTAAATGATAGCTAGAGTTAATGCTAGCTCGTGCTAGGTTGTTCTGTACCATCAAGTAATTGGTGGAATAATTTTATGCTGATGGCTGCTGGCTTAAGTAGTTGAGAGTTAAACATTCTTTTTTACCATAATAATGGATTTAGACCAACTTTTTAACGTAAAATGATTCTTGAATTTGTGTTACTTGCATTGAATTCCGTGCATGCAATTGAAATCAGTTTTTGGCTACTTAGTTATTCAGATCACAACATTTTAATTATTTCATATGTATCTAAGCCATAGGAAAAGCTTAATGTAGCAATTTTCTAGGATGCCATTGTTAATTCATTCCGTGGCTTAAGTGTATTACCTTATCATAACTTTTTCTTCACAAAAGATTTAAATCTGATGAGTTTAATTGCATTAAAACCTTGTTGGAAAAAGCTTTAAGAGCCTGTATTTTTGTCAAATTGAAATTGTTGTTTATTGATTCTTTGATGGCTATTCCACTTCCGTGCTATCCTGCTCTTCAATCTAAGGTTTTAACAATTTCTATTTGCTTGAGATCTTTTGCTGATTTTCAGTTTTCCTAGTATTTCATAGGCAGGAGGCTCTTCAGGCACTGTATTTGCTTGGGATCTTAGAGCACAACAACAGCCTATTGTTCTTGCTGGTGCTGGGACAGGTGAGGCTGCAATGTCTTTGTTATCTGAAAGTGAGGTTTGGGAAGTTCAGTATGATCGCTACACAAGGTCTTCAAACATTAGCAACATCTCTTCCACACGGATTCTACCTGTTATGATCTGCTCAGAAGATGGGATCCTCGCTGTTGTTGAACAAGGTAAGCAGTTCTTTAAGCAACTATTACTGAATTGTCTTTTGTATTTCGGGCAGACCAATGGGTAAGGATGAGACTTACATCAATTTCTATTTTGGATCAATTTGATGAAAGCTTTATTTTATAATTTTCTTTCAAGTAAAAGATCCCATGACTAACATGTATAATATTCTACTAACTGCATAGGTGAAGAACCCATTGAGCTGTTAGCCGACCCCTGTGCAATTAACAGCTTTGACATTAATCAGCAGAACCCCTCGGTAAATAGAAATTTTACTCTCTCACTGGGTTTTTACTCTAAAAGGCATAATAAGTGGATTCCTTACAGTTAAAATGCAATACCATGCAGGATGTTATATGTAGCTTGGAATGGGAATCTATAGCCATCTTGACAAGGTCGTGATATCAACAGTAAGAGACACAACTTAAGCTTAGAAGTCGGCTTCGCCTTCTGTGAGTAGTAACTTTTGAGGATATTGAGCGCCTTTGTGGAAATAGAACAATTAATTTATAAAAGTACGAATGTTCGGGAAAACATATAAACCCAGAAAATGGAATGATTTGTTGTGTGCAAGTTTTTGTTGTGCAATATAACCATGCAACAAGCCATACAAGAGAGGGCGACATTGATTGAACATCAATTGTCTTAATAGAGGTGTAATAAAGGAAGAAATCTGAATAGCCCATCTAATTACCTCGACTTTTGACTGATGAGATTCAGGGAGAAGTTGAAGAAAAGTGAGTTTTCACACATGGTAATAATAAATAATATGAAAAAGATTTCGTTTCCGTTGAAGAGTAAGAAAGGGTTTTTGTGTTCATTCTAGGAGAAGAAAAGTCAGGGCTGCAAGTTGAGTTATTTTCTTTTTCAATTAATAGAAAATTTTCCTTTCTTTTCTTTTATCTTTGAACTTTTTGTTTTAGTTTCTAAATTTTAGTTGTAAACCTAAATTAAAAATTAAAATATAAAGACGGCATAATTTTTCTAATTAATATGTAAAAAAATAAAAAAAATTACGGCCACGAACTCCAATGTTCCGCTGCTCCATGACATTCCACGTCCCGGACGCAGGGGACGGTGTGTTTGTCCTATCCAAATCCATTTCCTCCCACGAGCATAACGTTAGCTATAACAAAACAACAATTCATCAATGGCTTCTTCTATGAATTTGACAACCAAGTCTTTCAATTTACCCTTTTGCCATTCTTAATCGTCCTCCTACGCTCCATTTTCTCGTGGCCCGTCCAACTCTCCCAATTCAACAAGCTGGGCAAAGCCTTGAAACTCATCAGTTCCACCCAAAGCATTTCTGGGTTCCCTTTATTTGCTTCCCATAAGCTCTCCACCATCACCCCTGCCCCCCAAAGACTCCAATCTCTCACTGTCTTTGCTGCTAAAGGCTACAAAATGAAAACCCACAAGGTTCTTCTCTCTTTCTTCTCTTTGGTTCCTTGGACTACACAGGAAATATTCAAATTTTGAATCATTAGTTTTGTGTTGTTATGTCAAACAATATGTGAATTTGGTTGCTATTAAGATAAACTTGGTCCAGAAGATTCCTACTTTTTTAGATGTAGTTTTATAATTCAGAAAAGTTAGAAATTAAACGAGCAAATTCGGTTCTTTGCATCTATTCATCCAAAAAAGTTGAAAACTTTTCTTGGCAATAAAAATGAACAGCTTAAAAGTCGGCAAGTTTAGTCACTTTTTATGCCTTATGAGTCTTCTTTTCTAATGGATTTCATGTTGTCATCTTGTTTAGTAGGCTTCTGCAAAGCGATTTCGGGTGACAGGAAGAGGGAAAATAGTTAGGAGGAGAGCTGGGAAGCAGCATTTGTTGGCCAAGAAGAACACCAAGCGTAAATTGCGTCTCTCCAAAATGGTTTTTTTTTTTTTCTTACACCACAGTTTTCCTTATCTTGTGCTTTGCTCTTATTGAATATTTGAGCTTTTAGGTAGTCTAAAAAAGTGGGTACTAATTGCTTCAAATTCATGCTGCCTTTGGTTCTAAGTTAGGAGGCGTGTTTTGAAAATCATAACCTTAATTTTGGTGGATCCTCCCCTTCTGCTGCACCGCTTCTTTCCCCCCACATGAGTAGGAATTTAGTCTCGCTATTCAGTCTTTTGGCTCTAATGCAGTTTCCCAAGTTGAGTTGGGACTGTTAGATGAACTGTTCTTTGGCATTTCAATATTTTCAATCACACAGTCTAGAAACCACCTTTTTTCATTTCAAGTTATGCAGAGAAAAAAGAATCCTGAAGGAGCAGCTGTATTGTTGCCTTTATATTGTGACATGTTTTCTCATTTTGGATCATTGTGAAGAGGGGAATTGGAACTTAATTTAGGCTATTTGTGATCCGTAGTATATGGGTACATTTTATATATTGTACTGACAAAGGATTGGGTGGAATCATCTATTTTAGTTTCTTTTAGAGTTAAATAAGGAACCTATGGTCTTACTGGGATATAGCAAAATCATCCTGGGTTTAAGAGGTTTTGACGGGTGGAATCATGGTTATTTTTTGTCACTCACTGTTTGATGAGTTTGTTGCAATGGCATGAAGATTGGCTCTTTTGTTTTTCTGATTAGTTGACTGTGTGAGAAAGTTCCATATTGACTTTAAGAAATGAGCAAACGGTATTTAAAAGTAACTTGCACCACGACCAATGAAATGTTTTGCTTAAATACTCTGTTGATAACATGATTCCCTGTTTCTTCATAGGAACTCATCTATTATAAGTTGAATATCCTCTTTATTTATTACTGTATTTCAAGGTGAAATCCTAGTTTTTGTTGTTACCCTTTGTTTGGTGAGTGTGGTTGATGACAGACAGATTTGCACTTTTGTCTTTCTGATAAGTTGACAGTGTGAGAAAGCTCCATGTTAAACCTAAAGGGCTAGGGTATTCAAAAACTTAAATTTATTGTTAGTAACCTGCATCATGTTCATAACCAATCTAATGCTTTTGTCTAAATGCCCAATTAATTGCTTGAACACGATTGGTTGTGCCTTCACTGGAACTCAGTTACAAATATCTATGCTGGATATTGGGACATATTGTAAATTGAATGTCTTTCTTTCTTCCTTTTCCTTCTGCCTAAAATTAAGGCATAACCATATTTAGTACAATACTAAGCATATGCATAAAATCAGGTCATGGAGAAATTTACTGAAATAGTTTTTGATCCATTGTGAGAATTTACTCATAAACTGCACTTAAACCAAGAAGCTCACTTCAAACGTGCAGTTTAACATCATGGACTTACATATGTACTGTTTAGTGTCCATGCTTCAAGACGCCTTGGTACATATGAGAAATTGATCCATTACACTGTCTGGTTTAAACAGATTGTTTGAGTTGCTTAGATAATTTGAAATGAATCACCTTTTGTTTAATGTATAAGTTTAAATCTTAGGTCTCTATTTCAGTATAAAACTTGTTTTTATAGTGTATTTGTGTCAATTTCTGTCTGCAGCATGCAGTTAGCCGGAGTGACTATGACAATGTGATCGGTGCCTTGTGGTATCTCAAAGTGAATAGAAATGCCAAGTAAAGAGTGTCTTCAAGCGTCATGTGAGAACTTATGTTGTTTTCTTGTAATTTCTCAAAATTATGTTAGAAATAATGTGTTTATTGTTTTAACCTCCGATGCATTTAGTGGCCATTGATCAATTGTAAGTTGAAATCTATTTTTTTCAAACATATTGGCACCTATTTGATTCCAGTTTATGGCGTAACGCATAACATTATATGCATCGAATGCCTATGCCTTGGATGTTGGATGCTTTGGGGTCCAAAAAAAGGCTTAGACCACATAAAGTGGCCTAAGAATCCTCAATCATGTTAGTCAAAACATAGTTCATCAGATCTCCTGTATTTGCTTTATCCTTGCCTGATCTGAGGATAATGACCTACAGTCATGTATATGAAGTCTACCATTTCATTGATATTTTACTTTAACTGCAATTGGTTTTGCGACTCAATTTTGGTGAATACAAAGAAAGGGCAGATGTTTGACAAAACCGTATCTAAAAATCGAGTGGCTGTGCAGGGTGGGGTGTTTTAAGGACAGGAAAAAAGAACTGCAGCATTTCTTTACTTTCACGTTCTCTGGCAGAAACTCATTCACTAGAGCAATGCCATTTGGAATGGGAGTTATACCATATGAGTGTATGTTCTCTTAGTAATAGCAGTTGACCACCGTAATCTTGTTGCTGCAGATTTCCACCTTTCCTTAATGAACCCCATTCTCTTTTTTTAACAGCCTTAGGATAAAAAAATGAAGTTGAAGACGCCGAATTTCTAACTTCTGATCTGTTTGACGTCATTTTTTAAGAGTGATTTTGGGTTCTAATCAATCCTATTCTGTTATTAACTTCTTTGTTAATTGTTAGGCCGATCAAATCTTAAGGTTGAGAACATGTCATTGTCATGTTGCTGTTTTGTAGCCTGTAGGGTTGTGCAGTTCACAAGCTTCACACCCATCAAAACATTCAAATCCAACTTCGACGCCACAGTAAAACAGACTTGCCTACCTTTCCAAAAAGGATGCCAAGAGTTCCGAATGGTGGTAAGTTCAATTATTTTGTTTGTGGTTCCAATATCCTAGTCATCCATTAATACTCACCTTGTCTCGTCATCATGTTCAAGGTATCATTCCAAAAAGTATAGCTTCAAAGAAAAGTCATGAATTTATTTGAGGTACATTAGAAATTAACTAAAAAAAATATGAACACAAAAAATTATATTCTAATCCATAATTACTGTATGCATTTGACTTTCTAAATTAAAAGTTTTTAGGTTTGACTTTTTTTTATAGATCATTATTAATTAAAATTTTAAACTTTGAATGAAATAGTTTTCAAATGTCTATTTGTTAAATTTTAATTTAATTAAATATTTAAAATAATTAAGATCAAAATCTTTTTTTTAAAAAAATTGATCATAAAATGTCAAATTATAACAATATTTATTTAAAAAAAAAATTGGTAAGACATTTCGTTGTTTAAAACACAAAACAAAGATATGTTTTCTATCACAAAACTTTGAAATCTTAAAGTCTAATTGTTTGGAATTTTTACTTTGTATTTTTTTTTATTTGTTCTTTATTTTTAAGTTATTTTTATTTTATATCAAAAAACAAAAAGTAAAACGTAAATCAAATGTAGCCTAAAAAATTCTTTTTTCAAAGGACTAAAACAAAAGGAAATGAAAGCAAATAAGGGTAATATCCAAATAAATATTCAAATTTCATTTAAAATTTAAAATAGAAATAATTCCCAAATATGATTGGATTTCTGACCTAGCGTTCGATTAGGCGAGTAAACCATCCACTTTACCTAAATGTTTGTGTGCTTGTCCTTCACCTTTTGATTTAGTAACTAAAATGTTTTATGAAAATATAAAGATTTTGGTTTTGAACCAATTTTTTTTTTTTATTTTCTTCTTATAAGGGTTATATATTTTTTGTTAAAAAAAAATGTGTGCTTAATATCTCAGACTAATTAATTCAATTAAATTTAAGTTACCGATAAATTAATTTTATCAAAGTATCTTTAATTAATTTAGGAAATCAAACTTAGTCCAATTAAATTATTTAAAATGAATTTTTTTCACTTATTATGAACCAATAAAGTATTATAATTATGATTATATCAATTAAGGTTCCATAATAATTTTCTAAAAATCATAAACATAAAATTATTATTTTAATAGGATAAGGAAAATTGGTAATTAATGATGTAAAGACCATAAGGAGTAGATGTGATAGAAAACTAGTTCAGGAAAATGTGAATCTAAAAAATCATTTAAATTTGAATAAATAAACTAAATATAATATTATTTAAATTTAAAACAATTCAATGTTAAAATAATTTGAACAATTAAAACTTAATATTAAAAATGTAAAATTTAATTATTAATTTCATTTTAATCGAACTCAAACTCAATTTAATCGAGATAACTTGATTCAAAATCAATCTAAACTCAAAAAAACAGTACGATCGATACCAAACGTCGCTCGAGTCGAACCTAACGTACGCATTTGTCGTCTTTGGTTTGGAATGGTCGTTTTCGGCGGCAAGACTAAGTTGGCGTGTTAAATGTGCTAAATGTCGAAAGACCGCCACGTAGTGTGGAAAAAGCCAAGCCGGCCTTAAATTGTGCATCAGAAATCGGATCCAAAGTTAGAGACGTCTACATTCGTGCCCCATTGCCAACATGTGTCTTGTCCTTCCTTGCAACTTTTGTTTTTCTAAATCAATGTCGTTTGAATCGAGGATATTTCTCTCTAATCTTAATTAATTATAGAAAGATAATATATTTTTTAATATCAATTTCACCACCTTTTTCATATGGATTATTCTAATGATTATCAATGATTATGTGGTTTATTGATCAAAATTATTTAATTTTAAACATATCTTCATTAACTTTTAAGTTTAATTTCGACTCAAATCATTCATTTGTTTTCCTTACAAATGTATTTTTTAAGATTTTCATTAAAAATGTTTTTTTTTGTAATTTTAAAATTTAGAAATATCCCTTAATTATACACTTTTAATTATATCAAAAAGTTTATGGAAAACAAAAAAAAATGATCCTATAATTTTCTAAATTTTTTAAGTGACATTTTAATAGATTTGAACAAAATAAAACTTTTAAATTACGCATTAAAATTTTATAATTTATAATTTATTAAATTCATATAATTTGCAAGTAATTTATGATTCGAATCAATTATCAACTCTTTCCACTATTAGTAATAGTTTTTTTTTTCATCAAAATTATTTTAATTAATTTATTAACTATATGCCAATTTACATAATAATATACCACAATCTTAAATTGAATAAAAGTGCCCAATATAAATTTTGATATACATAAGTTCCGACCATATATAAAATAAAACAACAATAAAAAATAAGTTTCGAAATTTTAAATTTAAAATAAATATTTAAATTTAATTATTTAAAAAATCTTTTTATGAGATAAACTAGTTAAAATATCTAAATACACGCCTACAAGAGGCATAAAAACATGAATAGTAGTATCCCATCTTGTTCATCAAATAAAAGTAATTTTTCTTAATGAGTGTTATTATGTGAAGAATATTTTTTAATGTATTAAAACTATTGCATTAATTATTAATTGTTATATTTAATACGGAAATATTATAAATGATATTAATTAATTTTAAAACTATAATTAAAATACTATTTAACAATTTTTTTATTTTATCTTTAAACATTTGATTTAATAATTCAAGAATACCTTGTTTAAAAGCCCATCAAATCCCTCTATCTGACCATCCCAATTTATTATATATTAAAAAAATAAATTAATTTATGTTAAAGCAATATTTTTGTTATTAATTTTATAAATTTTAATAAATAAAAATAAATAAAAAAATAATTTCATTCATTAAATTTATTAAAATTAATAATTTAAAAATAAAAAATAAAAAATTTAAGATAATGTAAGTTGATCCTATCTCAAAAAAGTACTCGTAATACCCTTTCTGTCCTCGCCATCCAATAACAGTGCACGTGTAAGCTTTAAAAACCATAAGCAAGAAGCTACGGCCAGATCTATCGCCACGTGTCAGACATACAAACCATCGCCGTCATTTAAAAAAAAGCCTAACTCTCCTGGGCCCCATATATTATCCATTAATATGTTTACGTGTCTGCCAGCACGCGCTGATCTTTTCTCACCGAATACCCAAACTAACCTCACTACAAACCTAATAATTGCTTCAACTCAAGGATATTAAAGTAATCTCGCGACTTTATCGCCAGTGTTATGGCCCCAATAACGCTGGATCTCGCACGTGCTCGCCGTCAAAAAAGATCCTCTCTTTCCCTTTCTCTTCTTTTTAACACCATTAATTATATTTCCCAAAGTAATATTTTCTAGGGTTTTCAGAATCTCCGAAATTTGCTCGCTTTCCATCAATTTTGAGAGAGAAAAATTAAAATTAGATTTTTCCGCAATTTTTGGGGTTGGAATTGGGAAAGTTGGGATTTCGCTTGGATTGGATGGTGCAGTTGATGAGATCGGGAAATCTTAGGCCGGAGCTTCAGACGACGGCGTGCCTTGACAAACCGCCGGTGAAATTGGAGATCGTCGAGGATTCGTTAGAGGAAGAACATGGCCCTCTTAGTAAACGATCAAAACCTTCTCCAAATATTCAATATGTAATTTCTTTTTCAATTTTATTTCCCTTTTTTTTTAAATGAAATGAAAATTTACCTATTTTTGAGAGATCTCAACTATATGGAAAAAAAAAAAAAAAAGAAAAGACCTTTATATTGGAGGTTTTAAATTTTAAAGGTGTTGTTTCTGGATATTTGCAAGGTTGTTTTGCTGTATTTTGACGATGATGATGATTCTTTTTGTCAGTGGAACTCCGATGATAATGCTTTCTCGATCCCGCCATCGCAATACAATCCGTTGGATGAGCCGAGCCCCCTTGGTTTGAGGCTAAGAAAGAGTCCTTCCCTGTTGGATTTGATCCAAATGCGCCTCTCTCAACCCCAAAGCAGTGGCTCAGCTGCCCAAGATGAAGACTTGAGCTCTGGAGTCAAAAAGGAGGCCAAAGCTGCTGCTGCTACGGATAAACTTAAAGCCTCAAATTTTCCAGCTTCCATTCTTCGGATCGGCAACTGGGAGGTGACTTTTTAATGAGTTTTATTTAATTGTTTTAAAAAATGCTTTTATTTTGGGGTTCAAGTAGCTAAAGAATTGTTTACTTTGTGATTTGCAGTATAAGTCGAGGTATGAAGGTGATTTAGTGGCCAAGTGTTATTTTGCGAAGCATAAGCTTGTTTGGGAGATTTTGGAAGGTGGGCTTAAGAGTAAGATTGAAATACAGTGGTCGGATATTATGGCTTTTAAGGCAAATTGTCCTGATAATGGACCAGGGACTTTGAATGTTGTGGTAAACTTTGTAATTTTTCATGTGATCTTCTTCTCTCTCTCTGTCTCTCTCTCCATGCAATGATTATGTATGACTTTGGTTGTTTCTTTTATGATGTAGCTTGCAAGACCGCCCCTTTTCTTCCGGGAGACTAATCCGCAGCCTAGAAAACACACCTTATGGCAGGCAACTTCTGATTTTACTGACGGTCAAGCTAGCATACATAGGTAAAAGTAATATGAATCTAATTCTTATTTGTGGAAATACAAGCTGAAAATTGCTACCTTATCTGACTTGTTTGCATGTGGTTATGCAGCTAATATGCTCATGGAAAAATTTTCTTGTGGCTTTGCAGGCAACATTTTCTGCAGTGTCCTCAAGGATTGTTAAACAAACATTTTGAAAAGCTCATCCAGTGTGACATGCGTTTGAACTGTTTAAGCAGACAGCCAGAGATAATTTTGGATTCACCATACTTTGAATCACGCTCTTCAGTGTTTGAGGGTCCTGATGAACTGAAAAGGCATGATTTTGGCCAGGGGGAGACTTGTAACGGATCTACTAGCTCTGGCTTCCAGAATATAGCACCACCAGCTGCAGCTCAGTCTTCGTCCTTGGAGACTGAAAAAGGGGATTCTGCTGGTATAACCTCAGAACATATGTCCAGGGAAGCTCCGTCCCCCAGTTCAGGTACAAACAGGACAATTGGGTTTTTTTTTTTTTTTTTAATGTGCGGATGGATAAAGTTTCTAAGTCATATAGTCATTTTACATTCTCTTTTATTTACTCTTTTGAAGTCCGATTACATTCTCTTTTGTTTTCTCTTTTGAAGTCCGATGCCTAATATGGTGTAGTGTGTGATCTCTTAGGAATTTTAATTCATTTGATCTGAACTATGCTTTTTAATTGTTGATAATGATGTTACAGAGGCTTGAAGTCATAAATCTTTTTGCTAATGGTGGTGAGTGCTGATATAGGCTGCAGTGTTAATAACGCAGTATCCTATTGTTAATTTCTATATATGCCTTATTCTGCATATACATGCTATTTGATTTGTTCAGTATCTGATGGATTTAGCATGTGCATTGATACTGTTCCTTTTTACCTGGGCTTTGACTTATAGCTGAGTAGAAAGATGTTTTCTCCTGTTTGAATTAATATTATCTAAACTATTTGTAAATATTGCATTCTTACTTTCTTTTCTTTGCTCTTCTCTAATTAATTTCTCATTTCACATTAGTGATGGACTCTCGTGCCATTGAAGGAAGTGGGGTTTGTGAAGCAGTGGATTCAAAGGGGCCAAGGAATTGGGACCAGATTAAAGTTCCTGGACTTCACCCGTCTATGTCCATGAGTGATCTCATGAACCATATTGGACACCATCTTTCGGAGCAGATGACCTCTGGAAATCCATCCGCTGAAATTAGGCCAGACTGCCAGGAAATGCTGGAGGAGATTGCACGCTACCTTCTCAGTGACACTCAATTTACAACAGCCTCTGATGAGAAATCTCTAATGTCAAGGGTTAATTCTTTCTGTTGTCTTCTGCAAAAGGACACTACGGCAGGCACAAACTCACAGGCTAATGGGGAAAATTATGAAGGAGCTGATGATGGAAAAGATGTTCAGCTAAACAAAACTCATGAGTCTGGGTTTAATATTATAGCTAATGGTGATGTGAAGGCTTTTGAAGGGGATACAAAGGAAGTCTCTGGTAGCAAGCACGCTCCAGGCATGTCAAGAAAAGACTCGTTTGGTGAGTTGCTTCATCTTCCCCGACTTGCATCTCTCCCAAAGTTCTTGTTTGACATTTCAGAAGAAGATGGAGAGAGTCAAGCTAGATAAGATAGTTTCCTTGTTTGTCGGCTATTTGAAAATGATAAATATAAAGTGAATTTCCCAATCTCCCTCATATTGGTTGGAAATGTGATGTGGTTGTTATTAATATCAAATGTATGTGGAGGGATGCTTGGACAATGGGATTTATTGGGATTCGGAAATTCTTTTGATGAAGAATTCCATTAAAGTCCATGTAAAAATCTTAGGTGTTGTAGTAAAATTGTTTTATGTTAATATCTCAAGCAGATTGTTGGTCCTATCCCAGTAAAGGTAGTGATTTTTCATTTACTGAATTGTTTTTTCATTGGGTTAAAAAGGAGATAATATATCACCGTAGTTTGTGTATTTACATGAGTTATGTATTTAATGATAGTGGTAAGACTTGCTTTTCGTAGAGAGCTGTTGGAAAACATTCTGGCCATCTGACTGTACTCTGTTGGGAAAAATGTAAAAGGAAAGGTAGAAAAGAAAAACTTGTGCGAGGGATCTAGTTACTTCAACTACGGAGATTGCAGTGATATGCTACAACGTAGTTTAAGCATTGTTAGCATTACAAACTTGTTTTTGGAGTCAGAGCTGAGCGGGTAACAACTAACATGTAGTTTTCTCATTGTATAAACAAATTCATGATTCAGGGAGTTCAAGCAGTTCCATTCGCCATTTTATTTGCCCTCATTTTCCTTTGATTGCCAAGATTTTGAGAGAATGAATAAAATAAACCCCAAGACATTTGCACGTAACTACGAGTTGCTGAGGATCTCTGGACTGCTTTTACAGGACGTGACACTGACATGTTGGGAAAAGGCAATATTGAAGAAAAGTCAAGCTCGGGAAGCATCTTCCGATCATGACGGGGAGGTAATGCTAGTGGGAACTTAACGCTGATGTACAGAGGAAAGTGAGCGCGCTTCCCTTCCAATTTGTCATTGAAAACAAAAAGCCTAGTAACCTTTTCGTCCATGGTCTTATTGAAATTCCTATTCTTAAAATGCAAGGGATAAAATAAAAGTAAAGAAGAGGAAAGAGAAGACAAAGGGAATTTGTGATAGGAATTAGGATGAGTCAAACATATATCCATTTGATAAACTGTCCGAAAAGTAAGCTCAGTAATCCTTGCGAGGACACAATATTTGTTCATGAAGTCTATGAAAGTTTGATTTTCTATTCCATGCTCATTATTACATTTGCATAAAATTCATGGTTGAGGAAGTTGAAATGGCTGACATTTGTGGTTTGGTTTCCTTTCTCCTTTCCTACTCTAGTAAACAGCAAAAGAATGTAGGAGTACAAAAAATGAGGAGAAGATTTTATGAGAATGAAGCAATACAGAGGGTTTAAGATAAAATACTGGCACATATTATGCAAGGAGGATCTCTAGACTTCTCTTCGGATGTGGCGAACATTAGGCACAGACTATGAAAAACATGACCACATGAAAGAACAGCATTCTCTGCAGGTTTAAGATGCTCTAGATCTGGATCATATTTGGGTTCATTTGCAAGATCACCATCACATAAGAGACAGCTCCTGTCAAGTGGCACAATGCGCTCATCAAAACCTGCAAAATTGGAAGCAAATTGTTATGATAAAGGTTAATTTTTCTCTTTTTCGTATCTCCTTTTTGGGGTCATTCTAAATAAACAATCTAAATTAGTTAATTTTTACAGGATACATTAAGCTGTCTCTCCATGTAATTAACTCTGCTGGCCTTTACTTTTCACATCTTTTAACATACTAGGCCGCAAGTTTCTTCCCTCTCCCCTATATTTTTGGTATGACTTATAGTGAAACTGAGACGTCCAATTGTTCCTAGGTATTTCCTATATAAGTTCTGTCAGTCTAAACAATCTGTCATATATCTCAGTTATCTGTTTTTAGCTCTATTTCTAAAAATGCTACTTTTGAGCAGAGTGGTAAGCCAAATGCCAGATATTTACATTCCACGATCTCTCCCTGGGATATTTCGGGCAAATGTGCATGCAATTTTCATGTCACAAGATCAAGTAAATTATAGGAATAAACTGAAAGCGCAATGTTCTACTCAGATTGTCATCCATAGGCGAGTGTCAGATGAATGGGAAAAGATATTAGTATCAGATAAGAGTAGAATAAACGAGAAGGATACTGTGGACATACCTTCCCACACTATATGATCTTCGCAGACATGTTGCTCTTGTCTTGGTTTGGCTGGAATTGTTTCTTTTTTGTGTGTAACCTGCTTAGAAGTCAGAGTTCTACCTGTTCCATTCTTGCCTACCAACCCAGCAGAGCCCTTGGAAGGTTGGGTTTTTTCGTTTCTTTGAGTAAATTGCTTCAATGTTGGAATTCTAGTAGTAGTTTCACTCTTCTTAACCCACACTGCAGAGTCTTTGGGAAATTGGGTCGTTTTCCTTTTCTGCACACTATGCATTGATGCCGGAATTCTACTTGTTGCGATATTCTTGACCAATCCTGCAAGATCTTTGGGAGGTTGGGCTGTTTCCTGTTTCTGCATAACGTGCTTTGATGCCATAGTTCTAGTTCCAGTATTCTTGACCAACCCTGCAGGACCTTTGGGAGGTTGGGTTGTTTCCTTTTTCTGCATAACATGCTTTGATGCCAGAGTTGTACTGGTTCCACCGTTCTCAACCAGATCTGTAGGACTTTTGGGAGATTGGATTGTTTCCTTTTTCTTCACAAAATGCATTGATGCCTGAATTCTACTAATTGCACTCTTTTTGGCCAATCCTGCGGGATCTCTGAGAGATTGGTTTATTCCCTTCAGTTTAAGCTGCTTTGATTCTAGAATTGTACTAGTTCCATTCCTCCTGTTCAAACTTGTGGAATCATTGGGAGGCTGTGTTGTTTGTTCTTTCTGCTTAGAGGACCTAGAAACTGGAGTTGCATTAATTCCACTCTTTTTAACCAATGGGGCAGAATCTTTGTTCATCTTTATCTTATTAGATTGATGCTGTTGAGTACAACCTGTCTTACAAGAAATGTAATATATTAGCTTTAATTTCAACGAGGAAATGCCAAATTTGGTTTGTCTATGTAATCTGACATGACATGTGAGAAACCAATTCCGCCAACAGAATAACAAGTACCCCATACACAGTAGGTATGGACTGTGTATGGGGTAAATAAAATTGTTAAAATAGAGCATGATCTTACTTTTGGGGTAAAAAAAAAAAAAAAACATAGTAAGGAGCCAAAATTGCAAATACCTGTTCGACTTTTTACTTTAATGTGTTCTGTGGAATCTGTCAAATCTCTACTTGACGATGTAGCTCCTAAAGCAGGGTTCGAGACTTGAGAAGGTTCACCAATGCAATATGTGGCATACGGAATTCCACGAATATGATGCCAAGTCCGAGGTCCTCTACTGTGACCAGAGCTCGAAGCGCCAGCAACGCGGTTGATGCCAGGACTTGAAACGCCTGGATGGTGAGAATGGTGTGTGCTGAGGCGCTTGCCATCAATTATCTTCTTCCTGGAACCATGAAAATTATGTGTTATGAAAGTGATTTCTAGAACTCGTATGTATGAAGATTTTTGTACAGGGTAGCACTGATTTGCGTAGCCTGAATAAAGAAAATCATGCAAAGATCTTTATAGGGTAATGACGAAGGTCGAATGCCATGCCTGTTGGTATTATGCAAGAAACAGAGTCTTGGGTCTTTCCTTTGGTTAAGAAGGAGACCATCCGTTGCCGCCATTGAAAAGGAAACCCTGAAAGTGATACTACAAAAGAGAAAAGAGCACATGTAACATGTTGAAAAAGATGTTAAAAATCGAAACTAACCCAAATCTCAATCTCACAAACAAATAAAGATCTTAGAAATGCCACTGAAAGGAAAAAAGAACAAAATCATAACCTAAAGTAGGAAAAAGGAAATATGTCAATGGCAGTATATGAGAAAAGCAAATACTTGATCAGAAAGTTATTCAAGAAAATAAGCTAATTGTTTTGTGAGGTTTTGGAGGTAGGATTTGATCTTCTATCATATAAACGCTTTGGGGTGACGTGAAGTCCCCCGCCTCTCCTTTTTTAATGTGGATTAGAAGGCTACCACAACTGCCTTTATTTTCTAGGATTTGTTTTGTTTATGAGATTTACAAAAAGCAATCTAGGTTTTTGGTATATAATTAAAGTCATTATGTCGAATATTACTAAAATTAAGAGTTCAATATCTACAAACAATGTAAAATTCTAAAAGAAAAACAATCAACTAAAGGGGTTTTATGAAATAAAATAAATAAAAGGTATATTTATTTTAACAAAATAAAAATAACGTATAAGGTGTTCTTGTATGATAAATTAAACAAAAAAATTATTAAATACTGATTTATGATATAAAATTGTTTGGCTGAAAATTAAATGTTTAATAATTTTTTATTAATCTTTTATCAAAAGAAATAAATAATTTTATAATTATTTTTAAAAATAATTTTAACAATAAAAACTTTTATCAATATTGAACTATTTTATCGATATTAAACTAAATTCTGATAGTATAATAAAAGTAAAAAAATATTATTATAATTAAATAATAGTTACATTTTAATAAAATTGACTTAATACATTAAGTAGCTAAAATCTACCTTGCATTTTTACCAAATTTTTATTGAAAATATTTAATTAAATATTTTTAAGTAAAAATAATTTATCAAATATATTGAAAAATTAAAATTATTAAAATTTTAAATTAAAAAATTAAAATTTTTTAATGATTTATCAAATACTCTAGACTCGCATGTAAGATAACATGTGATCAAAATCTTTATTTTTATACGGCATTAATCAGTAGTTATATTTGTCCAAAGGAAAAGAAAAATGGTAGTGGTTAGTTACACTAGAAGAACTACCCAGTTACATTTGGGTTACAAATTTTTCTATTTTTGTGAAATATAAATTATATAAAATTTTTTATTTAATAATAAAAAATAAATATTTTTAGTATTTTGTTGGGTTTTCATTTTTTTAAAATATAATTTTTTTCAAAAAAAAATTTGATACTTAAATTTTATCACTTAATCGTAATTGGATATGTATTGGTTTTCTATTTTAAATAAGAAAGACTATTTTAAAAAAATTATATAAATTAAATCAAAACTGATTAATACATACCTAATAATCTAACTTAGTGATACAATATTTATCTATTATCAACATCAATCAATTATCAAATTCAAACTCATTTTTTCATGGAATTAAAACCTACTAATATCATAACCCATTCAACTTTATTTTTTAATAAAGTAAATTTAATATGGTAGAAGATGTATTATAGTAATTTTGATTAATGATGTTAAAAGGGCATTTATGTAATTATGATTGTAAAGTATTATAGTAATTTTGGTAAATTATAATAAAAAATATATTTTAATAATTATGTTAAGAGTAGTATTATAATAATTTTAGTTAATTATAGAAGGAGGGGCATTATATCATGCGTGTTATTCAATTACTAAGTAACTAGAGGGGCATTCTAATAATTTTCAAGGGGATCACTTTTATATAATTGTATGTATGTTAAATTTTAATATCTAATTATGAAGCAATCAAAAATGTATTTTCATAATTATGGTCAAAGACATTATAATAATTTTAGTAAATTATAATAAAGTAGCATTCTTGTAATTATAATAGAAATGACATTATAATAATTTTGTCAAATGATGGTTGAAAGGTATTTTTGTAATTATTGTTGTATGAGCATTATATTAACTTCGGTCAATTATAGTGAAAAAAATATTTTAATAAATATGTTAATATGAACATTATAGTTTTGATACTCCGTTTAGTCTGAGATTTAAATCAATTGAATCTATTTAATTTCAAGCTCAAAGGTTCAAACCAATTGGATTTAGACGCGATTTAATTCTAGTTGTAAAATTTTAAATTTTATTTATATTTTTATTTCTTATTTTATATTTTTATTTTCATTGCATTTATCTATATTTTTATTTATTTATCATTTTGTTTAATTTAATTTTTTTATTATTTGTTGATTATCCTTAGTTATAGCAGTTTGTTTAATTTCACTATTCTTATCATGTTTTTGCATTCAAATTATTTGATTATTTAAAAAAAAAAAAAGAAGGAAAAGCTGAAGGCTTGCTCGATGATGACCCTGAAACATTTTGGGATTAGGCGATGGTCCTTAGCTTTTTAAAAAACCTCTTCCAGTTTTTTTTTTTTTTTTTTAAATAATGTTGTAATGGACAATAGCAAATAACACAACAATTACACAGAAAAACCAAAGAAATAACCAAAGAAAATCAAGCAAGCTGATTCTGCCACCACTCTCTTAGCCCATCACTCACTAAACTCACAATAAAAATACAAACATAATAGTCAAATACCCGAAAGTCATACTTCATCCAAACTAGAGACCACACAATCCTAACAAAAATTCAAGTAGAAAACAGAGGATGAGCAAGATCAATTACAGGGGAGAAAAATCGAGTAAAAACCACCCTCAACAGCCAAGCTTAATTCTCTGTAAAAGCAACATAATAGACAGAAGCATTACACCTCAATTCCTAAGAAAGTCATTCCCGACCACAATCGAACAAGAGCACAATTCACAACAAGAAAATCCATCAGCCTAGTTTGCAATCCCAAATAACCAAGTTCCAATAAGGAAAATCCAACCATCAACACAAGAGGCCTAGCAATAGTCAAAAAATCCAAAAGCAAAGAAGCTTTAGTTTTTGGTTTGGTAGCCATTTAGTTCCAATCGACCCGAACACAAACCCCAACACTCAAACCTATTACAAAAAATCCCATACCTAGAATCCATTTTACCCAACCACAATTCACCAAAAGAATAATTCGTACAGAGGAAATGGTAGTGCTTTTTCAACTTTGAGGCTTTGATTTCCAAAGGCCACCACGAGCTGTCAAGAACTTGAATAAACTGGATTGCTTGAGTAGAAAAGAAACAAAGGAAGTAGGTAAATGAGTTGTGGGTACTACTCTGAGGTGGAGAACGGTGATCGATGGCGCAAGAAGGCGCAAGGTGGCGATAGTAGCAGAGCATTGTGAGTTTTTGGGTGACTTGAAATTGGTGGCTGTTCATCATTTTCTTAGAAACAAGTTAGAAAAATCAGAAATTAAGAAGGTTAATGAGTAAAATTGTTGGAAAAGAATAAGAGAAGGATTTTATAGGAAAACCAAAACGATGTAGCTTTCGGCTCTAAGGGAACCCAACTCCTTCGACCCGATTGTGACCTAAGATCACTCCGACGAGCCAGCAGCCCGCTTCAGCTCTCTTTACAGAGTGCATGACCGATTGCAACCCATTACCAATCCAAAAGAAAGACCCAATTTACAAGCACATCCAGATCCACCCATAACGGAAGAACTATTGATTTAGGCCGAAAATCAGGTTTGTTTGTTGGACCCACACAGCTTTGGACTTCTTTTAACCTTGGTTTTAACCCAAAGTGTGGTAATTTCTTTTCTTTTATATAGTTTTTTTTTTGCTATAATTATTTATATTGATTATTTATTTAAAATTTAATTTTGTGAAAATTACTTTTAAAAATAAAAATAAAACCTTACTAACATATTATAAGGTTTTAAAATAATTTTAAAAATAAAAATAAAAATAAAACCTTACCAACATATTGAAAGGTTCAAATTTTTAAAAATGAATTTTTCAAAAAAAATAAATCATAACATATTGGAAAACCTTATGAATTTTTCATAAAAATTGAAGATAAAAAAATAGCTTTCAAAAAGTTTTACCAATATATTGGAGGGTTTGTGATTTTTTTAAACATAAAAATTTACCAACAAATTGGAGAACCTTATGATTTTTAATTAAGATTTAAAAAAAAAAAGAAATAGTTTCTATCAAATCTTACCAACGATGGAACCTCTTCAAAATGTAACAAATAGTCTTCTTAAATATTCCTAAGATAAAAGAATGTCCTAAAATTATTATCAACATATTTGAGTAATTTTAAGATAATTTTCAATAACTAATTATTTGATAAGATTTTTAAAGTTTTGGATAACACAAGATCAAATTGGTACCATCCCTTAGATGGGTGTTATAGGGATGCTATAACATTTTTTACATGTAATTGAACTCTCGGACTTAGTTATGGTTTTGTAGACTAGAATCTATATTTTAAAGATACCTAGATTAAGCTTGAGATTTTTTTTTAAAACGAAACAAATTTAGTTAGGTAACCAATCGCACTTAAACAAAACAAATTAATAGTGACTCTTAAGTCTATGTCTAGTAATAGACCAATGGATCTATATGTTATGAAAATAGTAATTTTACTTAATCATATAAAGAAATGCATGCATTATAGTCAATTTGGATGCATATAATTTAATTGTCAAGTAATTAAATAGGCATTATGATTATTTCCAAAGGGATTAATTTCATATTATTGTATAGATGCTAAAATTTAATGCGTAATTATGAAGTAATCAAAGGGTATTTCATAATTATGATTAATAGGTATTATAATAATTTTGACCAATTATAATATAAGGGGTATTTTCATAATTATAATAGGAAAGACATTATATGAAGCAATCAAAAAGGCATTTTTGGTAATTATAGTTAGAAGGCATCATAGTAATTTTAGCTAATTATAATATGAAGGAGATTTTTGTAATTATGATAAGATGATATTTTCGTAATTATGGTTAAAAGATATTATAGTAATTTTAGTCAATTATTATATGAAAGGTATTTTATAATTATGGTAAGAGGATATTTTTATAGTTATGATTATAAGGGCATTATAGTAACTTTGGTTAATTATGATAAGATGAGTATTTTAGTAATTATATTAAAAAAGATATTATAATAATTTTAATTAATCATTGAAAAAGTGAAATTACAGTCAATTTGGATACAGTAATTCAATTTTCAAGTAATTAAAATAGTATTATGACCATTTCCAATGGGATTAATTTCATATTTTATATGGATGTTAAAATTTAACGTGCAATTATGAAGCAATCAAAAAGATATTTTCATAATTATGCTTAGAGAATATTATAACAATTTTGGCCAATCATAATATAAGAAATATTTCATAATTATGGTTGAAGAGGCATTATATGAAACAATCAAAAGGGAATTTTTTTTGTAATTATGGTTAGAGGGTATTCTAGTAATTTTAGCCAAGTAAAATATGAAAGGTATTTTTATAATTATGATAAGAGAATATTATAGTAATTTTAGCAAATGATGGTAAGACATTTATGTAATTATGGTTGTAGGAACATTATAGTAACTTTGAATAATTATGGTAAACATGGCATTTTAATAAGGGTTAAGTTTAGAAATATGCCATATGGTTAAGACCGAAATGAAAGTAACCCCCGAGGTTTAAAATACGACACTTAACTACCTTATAATTTGTTTTATTATTTTTTTTAACCTAAAATCATTATTTTTTTTGTTTGTTTATTTTTTTCATTCTTCTTTATCTGAATTCATACTGTCTCTAAAATTTCATACTCTCTCTCTAAACTCAGACGGATCCACAAACAATAATCTTAAAACCATAACAACAAATAACCAGAATCTCCACACCACCATCAACATTATAAATTCACATCACCACCAGATTTTATCCTTAATTCATTCAATGCTTTTTCAAAACTTGGCATACCTCGATTGGCACAACCACTGCTAGCTAATACTAATCGCCACTGTCAATCATCCATTAGTTCTAATGTCCGCCCAAAAGCAATTTCTAAAATCAGTTTGATCTTCTCAATTTTCAATCGAATGGGTTTTTAAATTTCTGATTGTGTCTACCTATGTAGTTGTTTGCCTAAATAGAATATGTTTACTTTGGTTGCTAGGAAATTTTAAGTTTTGGTTATTGGATGAATACGAATTTCACGGCTAGGCGGGATTTGGAAATTGAATCTGTGTTTGGGTTGGACAATGGTGGTGACTAAATGTTGGATGTAAGGGCATGGTAGAGATATATGCTATTGATTTTTGTGTAGTTTAGGTTGAATTGGTGGTGGCACTGAGCAACTAGGGTAATAGTTATGGGTGGTGAAGGTAGAAAGTATAAATTTTTAGAAAGAGATAATGAGTTTTTAGAAAGAGGATATGAATATTTAGAAAGAAAGTACGAATTCAGTTAAGTTTGGTAGTAGTGTGAACTTGTAGTGATAGTGGTGATGGAGTTGTGAAGGTTCTGATGATTTGAAGGTTATTGTTTGTGGATTCATTTGGGTTTAGAGATAGAATTGATTTAATTTTAGAAAGAGAAAAAATGAATTTTTAGAGAGAGAGTATGAATTCAGATGAAAAAAATAAAAAATTAAAAATATAAAAAAGTAACAGATTTGAATAAAAAAGCAATATAAAAAATAATAAGGTAGTTAAGTGTCATGTTTTAAGCCTCAGAGAACACTTTCATTTCAGTTTTAATCACAGGGTATATTTTTAAAGTTAATCTTTTTAATAATTATTTAAGAAGGATATTATAGTAATTTTAATTAATCATAGAAAGAGGGCCATTACAATCAATTTCGATATTTGTAATTTTATTGTCAAGTAATTAAAATGGTATTATGATCATTTCTAAAAGGATTAATTTCACATTATTGTATGGATGTTAAATTTTAATGCATAATTATAAAGCAATCAAAAAGAGATTTTCGAAATTATACTTAGAGGGCATTATAGTAATTTTGATTAATTATAATATGAAGAGTATTTTCATAATTATAATTGGAGATGCATTATATGAAGTAATTAAAAAGGGATTTTTTTTGTAATTATTGTTAGAGGATATTATAACAATTTTATTCAAATATAATATGAGGTGTATTTTCATAATTATGGTAAAAATAGTATTATAATAATTTTAGCCAATTATGGTAAGGGAAAAAAAGAAAAAAAATACAAACATACAATTAGTATCAAGTGGGTTTTATGAAAAAATTAAATCTAAAATTTTTTTTATTAAATATTTTAAAAGTTCAAATATGAAAAACATAAAAAAAATGGAAAAACAAAAAAAAATTGATATAAGCTTGTCTCTAATAAAAAATATTTTAAAATATATATAATGATAATTTTATAATTTTAAAGTATTTATTAATAATTTTAAAGAAAAGTAAAGAAAAAAAAGTAATACCCAAAAAATGACATACAATAGTAAAAGAAAATGAGATTGTAAACCGCACATAATTCAAGTATGTTTTAAAAACATAAAAAAAATTTTAATTACTTTTTTATTAAAAAAAATTAAAAAAATTGATATAAGTAGATCTTACACATAAAAATACAATCTTTATAAATATATATTTTTATAATTGAAATTTTTGGTTTTTTTTATGGAAAACTAAAAAAAAAAAAGCAAAAAAAAAAAAGAGTTAATCAGCTGGTGGCATGTGGCAACCAAATGGATGAGTACTGTTTGTACGTACATTAGTAAAAGTAATTGTAAGGATATTGGCATAGCACTAAAAGTGCAGTAGCATATTGGCTGTACAATTTTAAAGATGATATGTTAGATATGAGGAAAAAAAAAGATATATAAAAATGGTAATAATATAATAAATATATCAAAGATTTATTTATAATGATATACATTATTTAAGTTTTATTTTTTTAGATAATCCAATCTAACATATAATATTTTTATCCGTTGATTGTTAAAATGATGACTTATGTCTTTCTAAAAATATTTTTGTTAATGGTTTTATTTTTTTATTAAGTAGATCTTACACATAAAAATACAGTCTTTATAAATATTTTTTTTATAATTTAAAATAATTTATTATTTTTTTTAAAAAAAAAAGGGCAAAAACCAAAAACCAAAAAAAAGAAAAAAGGGCCAATAAGAAGGTGGCACGTGGCAGCATAATGGATGAGTACTATTCATTTGTACATTAATAAAATTAATTGTAAGGATATTGGTATTAAAAATGCAGTAGCATATTAGTTATATAATTTCAACGATAATACGTTAGATATAAGGAAAAAAAAAGTAATAATATATTAAAATATGTCAAAGATTCATTTATAATGATATAAATTAATTAAGTTTTATGTCTTTTTTATTTTTTTAGATAATCCAATATAATTATACTATTTCTATCGTTGATTGTTAAAATAATGACACATGTTTTTTTTTTTAAATTTGTTAATGTTTTTTTTTATTTTAAATTATAAAATTATCTATTAATTAAACATTTATAATATTATAAATTCAATTAATTGTGAATAAATGTATTTCATATTTTGTATCATTTAAAATTTGAGTTTATATTTATATATATTTATTACATTTCTATATTTATGAATTTAATCATTCCTAAATTTATGGTATCAAAGGATTTAATTAATTATGGATGAATATTGTACTTTGAATATTTATGAACTTAGGTATTGATGAATTTATGATATTTATAAATTCAATTAATTGGATAAATGTATTTTGTTTTTCGTATCATTTAAATTTTAAATACAAATTAATATTATTATTAATTAATTATAAATTAATTAAATTAAATGAATTTAATCATTCGTGAACTTAATTATTCATAAATTTATGATATTCATAAATTCAAGAGAATAAATGTACTTATTATTTAATGTAATATAAGTTTAATATATTTATTAAATAATATAAATACACATGAATCAAGCCACTACAATGTGCAGCATGCTATACCATGCACAGTGTTCTAGTGTATTTATTGAGCTTTGTTTACGTCATTCGCTTCATAGAAGAAAATGATCGTTGTTTTAAAAATGAAAAGCAAGTGTATGCAGTAAAAAGGATAGTTTGTAATAGAGAGGACAAAAAATTCCGTACCCGATGGTTTCGGTTCGATTCAATTTTTTAAAATATATATATTTTTTAAATTGGATATTAGATCGAATAATATAAAAAAAAATCGAAATCTAATTTTAGGTAAATTCGATCTTATTCGACCCGTATATATATAAATAATTTTTTAAATTAATTTTTAAATTTTTAATTTATATATATTTGTATAATGATATTTTTAAATATTTATATTTAAAAAATAATATTTTATTAATTTCGAATCGAATCGGATACGATTTATATAGTATCAGGTCGAATCGAGTTTGAATATAAAAAAATAAAAAAATTTTCAGATAAAATCAAATTCAGATTTATTAAAACATTAAGTCGGATCGAATTTGAAACGAACAAAATTCACCTCGAATCCAATCCGATGCCAACCCTGATTTGTAACGAGAAAATGATATGAAAACTTATAGCAGCATGCGACTAAATTATATAAATTTTATTAATCTACTATTAAAAATCCAGACGGTAAATTGATACCAACTCAATTAAAATTTTGATAAAAAAACAAGTTATAAAATAAAAGATATTATAAATTAATAAAGTTTTATTTGTAATTTAATTTTTCTTAAAAATAGAGTGAGAATATTTTTCTCTACAGATGCCACATGATAAAAATAATGGATTTTAACTGTTTTCATCTAAAATATAAGTTTAATTAAAAAAAATTATACTCTTAAGAATTTTATTGGACAAAAAAGAAACTTATCTGTCAAATTTATGAAGTTCTTTTAGTATTTTAACAATTTTCATTTCATTACCTTTTCCTCTTTCTTAGCAAGCAAGCACATTAATGGATTTTTTTTTTTAAATTTCGTCCCCTTGATTTTCCCCTATCCCAATTTTCATTCAATGTATATTTCTTTATATATATATATAATATAATTCATAACAAGCAAAAGGTTAAATATAAGGCAGTTTCTGGTTTACGAGGATAGAGAGGTATTTCACTCTATGCGCTTTTAGTTCCTTTGGAATGTTTCTAGAAAACTAGACTGGCAGTTTCTTTGAGTTTCTTTGTTTAATAAATGTAAGACAGGTTTAAAAGAGAGATGTTTTGTCATGCAAAGGAACCAACAGGAAAGATGAAGTGAGAGTTGATTCCTTGGAGAGTTTGTTGGGTTTTCCAATCAAATTCTTATCCCTTGGCTTTGTATATGCTTTATTCTTTCCCACCCACACTTGCTTTCTCTTTCATATGTTCATAAGATCATGTAATCCATCAGACATAACACAAAATCTGCATTCCATTTGACTTGAAATCAAGATAATGGCAGAGTCCAGCTCTCTGGAGTATAAGCCAACATGGATGGTTGCAGCTGTCTGTTTCGTCATTATTCTTATCTCTCTTTTGGCTGAACGAGGCCTTAATCACCTTGGAAAGGTATCCACATTCTGATCTGTCCTCCAAGTTTTAAAATATTTATTATTGTATTTATGCAATGACATAATCCCCATTCCCTTTTTTTCAATTGAATATTTTTCCTGGAATTCGAACTCAACTGGGAAGGGAAGCAAAACTTCCAAACTTGTGTACTTCAATGGCTCCAAGTACGAGCTTTTATTAAATTACCATAGATTTACAGATAATTCACATTGCAACTTTTTCTTTGATGGAACGAATTCATATAGTAATTAAATACAAGAAAAGGTTGTAACGGATTTCATGCTTATTTATTAGGACTTTTGCATATAGCACTTAGTCACATGGAATGCCTTTGTCTCTTGATCTTTCTTTTGTTTTTATAGCTGTTCTATATTAAAGCTTCCAGAACGAAAATTTTCGGTACTTTGGGTGTTTCACTCATAAGAAAATCTTCTGTCTGTTTTTGACTTGGAAATCCAGTGCCTGAAGCGTAACAATCAAGATGCACTGTTTGAAGCTTTACAAAAACTAAAAGCAGGTTTGCCCCAGTAGTACTCCCTTTTTCTGTCTTGAACTTCTCATATAGTAGCAGTGCCTTAGATTTTCTGAAGTAAGATGCATGTTTAAGCAGCTCATATTGTGCTTGTTCATATAATATCCATCACATTCACAAATTGAGCTTTAATCCAACTTAGCTTTATGGTTCTACAATGGAGTTATGCAATACAACATTAATCAAGTAAAATGATGAAAATGAATTTTATCACATTGTTAAATTTAGTACAAAGGTAAATTTTCTGAACTTTAGTGTTTACCCTAACCAATGTGCTACTGATGTTTGTTGACAGAATTGATGCTATTAGGATTCATTTCCCTTCTATTAAACGTCTTTCAAGGTCTAATAAGTCAAATCTGCATTCCAACCCACTTGGAATCCAGTATGCTTCCATGCAAGAAGCCTACTGAAAGTAAAAGTAGTCATGAAAAGTATTCACCTCAAGACATAAATAATAGACGTCACCTGTTTTCTGCAGATAGTAGTTCAGATTATTGTTCACATCAGGTACATTAACGTGCTTTTTTTAAGAAATTGTTTTTGTTACAGCAACCTGCTGGTTCTGGCTAATGATTATGGCCTTGCATATCAATTTGAGGAATGTCTACGCACATTCTCGCACATTTTATGCTCATTTCAAATACATTTCCCATAGGTTTAATGGGAAAATACAATAATGAAACTCCAGATGTAGCTCACCCTTTCAAGAAGGGGTTTTTTTTATGGTTGACTTTAAGGTAATTTTCTCTTTCCAAACTCAGGGGAAGGTCCCATTATTATCAACGGAAGAATTTCATCAGCTACACATTTTAATCTTTGTAGTGGCCGTTGTTCATGTGGTATCCTGTGCCATTATATTGGTTCTTGGAGAAGCAAGGGTAATGTTTGTGCCTCTAACTTTCACTATGTGTTACACTGTAATTAGATATCTTATTCATTTTACAAGATGTTATGCCCTAATATAACTGCAACTTCAGGTAGAAATAAGTGTTTGAACATTGACCACGTGCAATTAGACTCAATAACATTGGTAAAAATCGGCAATAGCAAAGTTAAAGAAAGCAGAATCATATTTCATCTCATAGGAGTACTGGATCAACTTCAATATTGCCTGTTCTTTATTGAACTGTTATTATCATTTTAACTGCCAACCAAATAATAAAATATATAGCTTTCGTTTATGTAGATACGCCAATGGAAACCTTGGGAAGATACTATCTCTAATGTGGAAAAGGGTAACATCAATCAAGCTTCCAAAAGATTATCAGTTAATTTATCTTTTATTATTAAAGGATTCTGTTTCCTAAGCGTGATATGGTTCAGAGTTGAGATTCATCTTGTTCCTCAGGTACAGCCAAGGACACTCATAGACATCATATCCTAGTGTTACTCAAAAAACATGCCTGGGGATATTGGAGAAAGGCAGCTGTTGTGAGCTGGACAGTAAGTCTTACAGCTATATAATCTTGCGCATGTAACAGAATTTCCATATAGTCTTCATCTGTCTTGTATGCATCTGCTCGCCATACTTACCTACATTATCTTTATTTCTGCTTTTCATGAGTTACCGGCAATGGCAGAAACTTATGACTTTCCCCAGTATCAAATATGTTATTTAGCTTTGGGAGTTTTAAATTTAAGAAGCATTTGTTAAATATAGATATAAATAAAGTCTCTCATATGATCATTTTTTAACATTTTTTGGCTGCTCTTATGTATTGTTAACATATGACAGCAATTGCTTTCTTATGTTCTTTTGGCAGATTTCATTTGTCAAACAGTTCTATAACTCTGTTACCCAGTCAGAGTACATAGCACTTCGAGAAGGATTTATCATTGTTAAGTTCTCATCATCTATCATATGTGTACTTAATGCTTAGTTTTAGTTCATTGAGTTTTTGCTTTACAAAAAGCATGCTACTTACCTACTTTCCCAACCATCTAGAAACATTGCCAAGCCTATAGTCAATTTGATTTTCACAAGCACATGATGCTGTCACTTGAAAGGGACTTCAGACATGTTGCTGGCATAAGGTAATTCTTAAAATCTTGGCAAATTTTTAAACCAAGATCTGTTTGATGTTTGAGATAAATATTGCACACTGATATCCTGTCATATGTAGCTGGTACCAGTGGCTATTTGTGGTAGTGTTTTTGACATTGAATGTGGAAGGTCAGTTTTCCTTTAGTCTGAATGAATCTACTTTATTTGTCATTACATTTCACAATAATGATATTAAGTACTTCATATTTCCAAGCAGGATGGCATACGTATTTTTGGTTATCATTTCTACCTTTAGTTGTAAGTGAATCAGTTGCATTTCAGTGGATCATTTAAACTGGTTGAGGAATGAGATTCACATGATTAACAATTGTTGGGGTAAATGGAGTTTTACAGCTTCTACTTCTTGTTGGAGCCAAGTTAGCGCACATAATCATCCGCTTAGCTCAGGATGTTGATGAAATGAAGAAGTCCCAGGGGCAGTTAGCAGTGAAACCTTCTGATGAATACTTCTGGTTTAATCGTCCTCGCCTAGTTCTTGACTTTATTCACTTTATTCTATTTCAGAATGCCTTTGAGATTGCATTCTTCTTCTGGATCTTGGTAATGCTATTTCTGGCAATACAATAAGGTATCTTACTCAAGTTTGTTTTATAAATGCATTAACTTTTTTAAATTAATTTCCTTTCAGTGGACTTATGGTTTGCATTCATGCATCATGGAAAGAACAGGCTATAACATCCCTAGACTTATAATGGGGTAAATAATCGAGACCCGAGTCTGTATCCCAATGTCTGTCAGTACCTGCTTTGCATATTATCATTTTTTTTTGTTGCTTCTGCAGTGTGATCGTTCAAGTTCTATGCAGTTACATCACCTTGCCCTTGTATGCTCTTGTCACACAGGTAGATTACTAGTCCTAGACATGTTTCCTTCCTTTTTTTTGTTTGGCCAAAGACATGTTTCCTTCCTTGGTAAATCTATGTTATGCTGATCTTCATTTGAAGTCTCATTGTGGCATTTCTTTTTATCTATTGTTAAAGATGGGAACAACTTATGAGCCGGTGCAAGTGACAGTTCACTCACCTGTGATAATTTAAATGAAGAAACAGAAAGGTGAATCCAGAAAGAGGGGCTCATCTGGTGCAAGAGTGACGCAGATAAAAAACCTGGCGAAACAGGTTGGAGAGCAAGAAATTATCAGTATTTTAAGTAACCACAAAATCAAAAACTGAGCTGTCTTGTGCAAACCAAATGCATACACCTTCACCTTAAGTTTTTCCTTTGAAGTCTTTTTTGAGCTATTCAATTTGGCCCTCAGTAGCTGAGTTCCATGCTTGTAAATGTTAGTTTTATTCCTCTTCAACTTAATTGGTGGCCAACACTTAACTGTTTATCTACCTGCTGACCTTACAAGTATAATGGAAAATATAAGTTCACCATTGACAATGGATTACCATAAAAAAAAAAATTCTAAGTAATTTCTTCTCTTCACTTAGCTGATTAACTGCTTAATTGGTGGCCAACACTTAAGGTTTATCTACCTGCTGCCCTTACAAATATAATGGAAAATATAAGTTCACCATTAACAATGGATTACCATAAAAAAATTTTTCCAAGGAATTTCTTCTCTTCACTTAGCTGATTAAGTTTGTTAAGTTTAGGGATTTTCTCTTCCTTATCTATTAGCAAGATTTCAAGTTTAAAATGTGTATAAATTAGATCTGATAATTTTAAATATGATACGGTGATTTAATTAAAACAATCAAAATAATGTGATTTAAATTTAAGTAAAAATTATATTTAGATTTGACAAAAATAAAAAAACGTATTTCATATTTGACATTTTGACACAAATTATTATATGAAAATTTTCATATTTTACATATATTTGACTCGAATACATGAATAGCTAAGTATAAACTATCATTGGCCCACATGAATAGCTAAGTATAAACTATCATTGGCCCTGCAACGACTCTCATATCGCCGTATTGCACTAAACTGTTCTTAGGTACAATATACACTAAGATACTAACACTAGACATCAATAGTGGAAAACAGGATTAGGTTGAGATATATTCTATTTTACATGCTATTAGAGAATGAGCAATAACTCGTGTAACAAGCAGGAGGAATAATCTTGTAGTGAAGGACTCAAATTCAGCAAAAGGGGAAAGGAAAGGAGAATAAAAGTTTCCCAGTCATATTTTTCTTTAAGACGTGTTGCTTGACCTTATAATTAAATTATAGATTGAGGCATCAGCGGTTGCTTCCTTCTCATCTGTTTCGGTACTTGCTGATGGTATAATCCCTTCTTTGTATAATTTGCGTTCGTACATTTTGCCAATTGATGATGGTGCCGTAATTCCTTTTTCTTCTTTCGGGTCGTCTTGTCATTCTAAATCACTATCCAACATGCTTATATATAGCTTGGTCGTGCTTTGAAGGATTGTAAGGATAAAACAAACGAAGTAGAAATCATAAATGTATATAAATCACAAGTGATTTCTGATCATACAAGACAAGACACCAATAATACAGCTAACTCCAACCATGGTGGAAAAACCAAAACAAACACACAAAAAACAAAGAAAAATTCTTACACAAGTATAATGGAATGAAACAAATGGCTAAAAGCCTCTTATGTATTCACTCAGTGATACAAGAATAATGTTTAAAGGAACACGACCACACCAAAGCAAAGGCACATAGCCCAAACTCTGTGTCAGGGAGCATGGACTGGACATTTTCAAGGGCTAGTTTTTGCAGGTGGTGATGAGAAGAATTGGATGGACGGAATAGTAGTAGGTATTGTGGAGATTGAGGGCATGTTTGGCAGAGGTGGCAGGGTCACTTTTGGGGCAGTAGGGATGGTAGGCAATGTTGGCATGCTAGGAAGTGGAGGTGGAGTTCCAGGCTTGGGTAGTGATGGTTGGGTGGTCGGCAATGTTGGTGTTGTTGGTTTTGGGAGACTTGGGATGGATGGGAATGGTGTCAGCGTTACTCTTGGCAAAGTTGGCATTGGTGGTAAAGGTGGCAGCTGGAGGAGATGACGAGCTGCTAGGCCAACATTGATGCTTGAAAATGACAAAGCCATGAAGAACGCTAAAACAAAATAATTGGAAGAGGCCATTTCTAGAGATTTGAAAAGGAAGATTGTTCTGTCTTACGGTTTGAGTAAGGAAAACAAGGCATGCTATCGGATTTATATAGCCTGTAAGCAGGCGGCGTGGTCTCTCAGGTTGTTGATTACTGATCATATATGGTTAAAAAAGAAAGAATAGTCATTTTGAATGTTTTGTTAGTTCATCTTCTAATTGAAGTTGGATTAAAAAATTGTCAAATGTAGTTGTGGTTGGCCAGGAGCTACCAGAAGTACTGAAGTCAGCCACTTGTATCAAGTCGTCAACTTGTCAAAGGATATCTAAATTTAAAAGGTTCAGGGTACCAAAATTTTTCTTAGTTGGTGGGTCATCGGACTGGATTTCAGGGTTGTTTGCCTTAAATGTACACCTTCAAGTAGTATCTGCCATTGACATTCGGCTGCTAGCAAACAATGCCAGTTCTTTTCCTTTTCTTCCCTATGGGGATGGGATTTTAAGATTATAAAAAATGGAGAACAAAGTCATTAACCATGGACTTATCCAGTAATCCTCGTTTCCTAAATAGTTCTTTATGGTACAGAGCAAAGAAACCAGTCCTTGATACGTTCTACACCACATACCATTCGGAAAATTTTAATTATGAAAAGACGAAGAAAAAAGGTTCTGAATATATGTTGAAAGAACATTTAACGTAAAAAGGTTTTTTTGGGTGTGACTAGCAACCTAGAAAAGGGTCGCCATTACCACCGTAAAAACAAGTTGTCATTGGTGAAGGCAACCGCCACGGAACGTTTGCACCACGTCCAGCTTCTTGATAACAGCCAAGAGAAACGGCAATTTGTTTGAGACAACATTAGCTAACATGTGTATAAGCAGGAAAGAGCGTACCATTCCTGTTAGCAAGATTTTCTGTCCCCAAAAGAGGGTTTCCTTACTTTGAGATGGCGGAGCCAAATGATTGCGGTCAAGTAACATTTTACAGGTAAAAGATGATGGGAGAAATGATCAATGCAGAAGCACATTCTTGAAACAGACTTTGAAAAAATAAGCAACGCTTTGTCAAACTTAAAGGGCCAATGCTTGGAAAATATTTACAGTTTTTTTTTTATTTGGTCTTTTTACATATTTAGAAAGAGTAGTTTTATGTACAAAGGAGATTAAACTTGGCTGTACAGAAGGAAAATCTTAGTTCTAACTGCCACCAAGAAGGCTTATCTTCTGAATATTTTATAACGTATGTACACTTTGGTTTCTTCCATCATGTCATATCTGCTTTCGGGGCAGGGATCAGGAAGGAGGTGGTGAATGAATGGTGGTATCAGGTAACATGGCTACTGTCACTACGAAGTATTCACATCCAATAGGGAGACCATAGGGGTTCAAACTTGATCCAGAATTCAAGGTTAACCGCTCTGTCCCTGTGTCAGAAGTTAGTTGATCCAAAGGATCCGCCCTACCATGATCAGGTCTAGTTGATGAAGGCGGCAGTGGCTTCACAGTTTGACGCTCAATATGCACAATCTGCCCGACAATATAGCTCGGTTGGCTTGGGAGATGATCAGTAAACAAGGCCACAGATTCAGCAGACAAGTAGTAATTGGAGCAGTTTCGGGTGATTGCCTCATAATGCCCAGCTGAATTTAGTACGAATGCAGCAATCTCATGGACTTGCAACCGGCTGAAAGATATCTTTTCCTTGTTTGCCTGAGCAAGAATATCAAACCACTTAGTTAAAGAGTAAAAAGATGCTCTATATCCTCTCTGTACATAAACATGAAAAGAAAGAAAAGTTATGGATTATTATATTAGGATAATCAGGAAGAATGAATGACAAGCAAACTATTTATTCTACAACAGCTTGCTAGACATAATACATGGTTAATGGCTCTGCAAGAACAAAAGCTGATAGAAGCTTCTTTTCACGGTTTAAGCATTATTTATGCATGGTATAAACAAGTCTCATCCACCCAAACTTATGAAGTTAAGAACATTGACCAAATGTTACCTGCTTCTCAAGTTGATGCTTAGTGAATAGAGTTTTAACCAGCTCATTTTTCTCTTCTAATTCCTTCCTAAGCTGTTCATTTACGCCTTCAACATTAGTGTATTTCTCATGCAGCTCTTCACGATGCCGGGACAAGAAACCAACTTTTTCAGCAAGAACCCGGATACATTTGCGGAACTCAGCAGTGCCATCATCTTCACTGTCACTAATGGAACTGAAAATTTCATAGCATAGATATTTGGACAATGGTCATTAAACTATCAATAATAGTAGAGGGGGAAAAAAAAGAGCACTTCAGAACATCAGAAAAAATAATGTCATGTCTATGTATCACCCTTTAAACTTCTAAGTAAATAGACTGAAGAAGTTTCGTTTATCCCCCAAAAAATTGAACACCGCAAGGAGATTGAAAGGGGAAAACATAAACCACTTCCAACCACATTTTTATAAAGAAATCCACGTCCTAGAATGCTCACTTCCAACCACATTTTTATAAAGAAATCCATGTCCTAGAATGCTCAATAGAACCTAAAAGTCGTATTATGTTTACATTTTTTTTTTTTGCATGGACTTCAACTATAAAATTTGATTAAGCTTTCCCTTTTCTTAACTTACGAAATGAGAACAAAAGTATGCTTCTAGTTTTCTTCCAGCCCCGAGCTCACTGCTTTTTTGCCCCTAATAATGGCATACCAGTGGAAAAAAATATAGTGGTAGTAGTTGAAGAAGACTGGATGGAATATTACTACTGTGCAAACCCTCACAAGCATTGTATCGAGTAACTTACTTGGCCAAAGACTGAGCCAAAGCACGCAAAGAATCAGCAAAACCAGCCATCCCACCATCATGATGGTAGACACAATTTCGAAGTCTTTCAAAAAGACCACGCATCTTTACAGCCGATGCACGGAGTGCACTATATTCAGAGGCCCTCCGATCAGCAGCACAACGATGGCTTTGGGCTTCTTCTCTTGCTTCATGCAAACAATTCTCCAAGTGAGCACAGTTCATCTGTAACAAGGATGGGAAAATTATAGTATAGCACAAGAATATGATCAAATGGCTAAATTTACACTATAAAGGCAAATAACATAGGTTAGACTTTCATTCTACATTCCCTCAAATCAAATTTAATTGGCAGAGCAATGAGCTGTAATCTGGATGCTAAATGGTACATACATACACTTGGGACAGAAGGAGTAGAAAACATGATTCCAAATTAACACTAAATAACTTCACAACCTCTATAATATATAAAGGAGCACTTGAGTTCACCAGAAACCTCCCTCTAAATTTATAAGACAGTCTTTCATCCAACTTGGGCACCTAGTTCATCATCCTATTTTTTAGGTTTTCTCTCACCTTAGAAGAGTTATTTACACCTTAAACATTGTTTTGTATGGTATGCTCCAATTCTGCCTCTCTCTTCATCCATATTATGGGTGCCACTGGACTAGTACAAATAAAAGGAACAATTTACTCAAACATCTAGCCTGGAGAGCATACAAAATAAAAGGACATCCTAAACTAAGAAGAAATGAAGTAAAAGGTACTGAAGTAAAAAATAGGCAGTATAATGCATTTGATTGCCACATCCAAGTTATAATCCAGCAACAGACAAGTATTAGCCCTATAGTGCCAGTTGGAGGTCGGTGCCCAACAAGTTGTACCAAGTTTCATTTCACATAAAGTTCCAGGTAACTTAGTGTACTAAAAAGGTATATAATATCAAATAATGCAGTTCATAATGTGTGAAAGAGGGAATCCCAGTAATATCCATTTGTTAGCTAACATGAATGCATAAAAAAAGAAGTGCTTAATGAAGTTAGAAATGCAAATATAATCAGTTAATAAATCTCTGAAAAACCAAAATAAAAGTAGAGAGAGAAGAAATTTCATCCGGTACTACCTGAGATTCATCAAGAAGTTTACGACTCGTTTCCATCTCCTTCCTAAGCATGGAAACCTCATCCAAAGCATCTGTAAGCTTGGTTTCAGTTTCAGTTAATTGGTTCAGCTTCTCTGCAAGTGTACTTCGTAATTCCAACACAAGATCCTCCCTAACTTTAGAATCTAAACCCAGCTCAGCTGATGTCCCACAAGGTAAAGCATTCAGAGGCTCAGGCATGCTCTCAGCAGTAGAACTGTTAGTGAGAGACATGCCAGACTGTCCCACCATCCTATCTTTTCCATCTTTCTCGCCAACTTGCAGTTCTTCTCGATGTGGCTCTTGCATTGATGAATCCAACTGAGGGTTGAGCATTCCAAATGAATCCATCATATTCTCATCAACCCCTTCTCGACCTTTGCTTGATTGCCGTGTAAAAAGTCCCAGCTTTGCGTCCAAAGAACTTGAAATGCATGAAACCTCATCCATGGGTTCAGATGTAGATATCTGAGGCACATTCACCTCACAAGCTGAGATTTCGGGCTTGCAATCATCAGCCTTTGAAGCCGGAAGGCCAACATCAGTGACATTGTTAGTTATAGAAAGTGTCTGCCCCTGTGAATACTGATCAGACAATCTATGCTCCAGTTCCTGAATGCGCTTTTCATATGAAACACACTGCACATGTTTTGCCTTAAGCATAGATTGGAGGTGTTTTTCATACTCATCTTTTAGATGCAAG